CAAAATATTTTATCAAATATCAAAATATTATACCGTTGACAGGTCTACTGAAAATAATTTGGGTAGATTATTGTTCTTCTGGAATTAAGCTATCAGAAGTTCCATTTTATTTCTTGCAAAATACAATAAAATGTCTCATATATACACCTGGTGCTTATTGAAACTCTGTGAGGTTTATAAATGTAAAACTTTAGTGTCTAGACTCACTACAAGACTATATGAATTCTTATGTTTCCTACTAGTCAGCTGAGTAATCATGAACTAATTTCATCTATAAAATATAGGTATTGGGTAGGTGATTATCAAAGGACATTTAATGCCTTAGTAGACTGTGACACTGTAATTTTAAACTCCATCCAAAGAAGCAGTGTCATGATCTACATAATGCTCAGCTTATGATATTATTATAAAGCTCATAATATCAATCTTACACAAGCAACATGGACTTTCATGTCCACTTGAATCTTCACTTTTAAATGGAGAAACTATTGGCTGAATTCTAAGATTTCCTCATTTCTGAAGCACAGCATAACCTATTCTGATGTGCTTTGTCTATATCTTTTCTGTAGCTTCTAAATTGCAATTGAGGTAAACTATGTGTAACAATGTCTGTATCTATTTGGAAAACAGCAAACATCATTGCCTCTCTAGTATGACTGGTAACCAGAATGCAGTTGCAATCCTTTCAGCCACTCTTCTATGCTGTTTCCCAGGTCTTAGTTGTAGGAATTATATTGTACATGTACTAATTGGGCCTGTGGACCCCATGGTCAGTTTTTCTCTGCATTTTGTTCAGTTATAGTTCTCTGTTGTTGCCCCCATCTGCTGGAAAAAGAAGCTAATTTGATAAGGAGTGGCAGCTGCACTCATATGTGTATATAAGAGTCGGTAGTTAGAATGGAAATTATATGGTTTAGGAAAGTAGCAGTAGTAGGCTCTCTTCTATGGCTCATAACCTCACCAACCACAGGGACTTGGCTAGGTTTGAAGTACCAGGTATGGATTTTCTACTATGTAATGGACCTTCAGTACAATTTGATACCTGTTGGTTACCCACAAGATAATTGCATCCTTGGATATAACTTACAAAACAGGGGAAATCTTTTAGAGACAGTCATTTTTGTAGCAGACTTCCAGGTCAGTTCCCATTCACTTCTTCCAAATCCTTACCCAGACATGCTTGGTATCTTCAGCAGCAAGATTTTTTTTTTTTTACAAAATATTCTAAAGTTCTCACAAGTATACAAGGGAAATAGCAATAGCACATATTTGGTGGAAAGTCTCTTAGACCTTGTGGCTGATGACAACTCATTTGTTCATTATCAGCAATAGGGTTGTCAAAGCAAGATGTGCTTAATGACAATGTCAGTTGAGACAGGTGACTAGGAGAAATTTCACAAGGCCCATCCCTAGATGAAAAATGGTACTTACTCAATAGCTACTGAGAAAAACTGAATCAATTATACCCACAGTGGAACTCCTTGATAAGTTATTCATTCCAAAATAGTCAGCCCTAAACACATGTAGATAAGAGCAATACTAGATGGCTTCAATAGATTACATGTATTTCAAAATAATATAGAAGAAGCAGTTATGAATTTGAGAGGAGGTAGGTACTGTGGTACCAGTTGGATGAGCACAGGCGTGAAAATTATATAAATGCATATATGATACTCTCAATAATGCAGTGACCTATGGACACAGCTCTGAACTATAATATCAGCAATGATTATATCATAATTACTGGCTTTTGTGTAACAATGACATTTTATAGTAAAATAAACCTATATTATTTCCATTTTTATTGATGAATAATCTAATTCCCAAAGGGCCTGGTGTATGCCTATAGGAAATAGGTTTAATATTATAAATTATTGAGAGACTTTGAATGACTTTAGAACTCTATTTCATATGGAGGAACAAAGCTAGAGATTAATATGCCAATGTTTCCATACACTTTTCCTGGATCTAAAGAAACCACCTTAGCCGGGCGGTGGTGGCGCACTCCTTTAGTCCCAGCACTTGGGAGGCAGAGCGTGGCAGATCTCTGTGAGTTTGAGGTCAGCCTGGTCTCCAAAGTGAGTTCCAGGAAATGCGCAAAACTACACAGAGAAACCCTGTCTCGAAAAACCAAAAAAAAAAAAAGAAACCACCTAAGGAAAACTCAACAAGAAACAAAATCCTCCAATGAGCCAACTGTTTCTTGGTTATAGTCAACACACCTTTTGTCCGATCTATTCACCTGAGTTACTAATACCATGTCATGTATTTAGGGATTAATACTTTGTCTAGTTGGAACTGTAAGAAAAGAAGGAGGATGACCAGGTATTTGGAAATTCTATTATAATAATCATTATGGGAACAATAATGTTCTATCTCACATCTCTTGCATTCTTATTAAGAATATATTTAGGGCAAAGCCTCCCCCGAGGACTGTGATCAACCTGATAGACTCAGTCCAGGCAGGTCCAGTTTTCCCTGGAGGAGGTGGGAATGGGGGGTGAGCTGGGGGTAAGAGGAGGGGGTGGGAGGGGGGAGAAGAGGGGAACCCGTGGCTGATATGTAGAACTAAATGGTATTGTAAAATAAAATAAAAGGGAAAAAAAATTAAAAAAGGCAAAAAAAAGAATATATTTAATTTTGTGAAACATAACTTATTTATACATCTGGAATGTCTTAGAAGTTTTTTTTCCCCTCAGAACAGTTATATTCTCAGGCACAATTCGGTGGGAATCTGTATTTGATGGAACCCACAAAGAATATGGAATAAGAAAGAGACACTAGATTGGGAACTGTTCTTCAATCTGTCATTGAAACAAATGGCAACAGAGTGTTAAGGTCACAGACAGTTAAACTCCACACCTTTTAAAAACTAGAGAGTTTTGAGGTAAACAGAATATTTCTGTGATGGAAATAAAGTTTCGTTTTTATGCCATCCAATAGACAGAATCCCAGCAAGAGGAGTTGATAGCAACATACTTAAGTGGATAAAATAACAAAGGTTTATTATAAGATTAAGAAAAGACTTGAGACATATACTTATTTTTTTAAGATTTCTTAATAAGATGTTAGTTTCTTTTGAGGTAAACTATTCCCCTGGCATACTGCTCAAGATTTCCCATATTTCAAAAATCAAACTTGATGACAAATCTGAGTACTCTGATTTCTCACAGCTTGCTGCCTGACTGAACAGATACAGCTCACTGAAGACAGTCTATAGTCATAGGGATCATCAAGGCAGAGGCAGATTTTGTGTGATTAGAAGCCAGGCTTCTCACTTTGGGAGATTCTGATTGTTTCATTCTCAAAATACAATTTACTAAGGTCTTCTTGTGATCACGAGTAAAGTAGTCAGAGAAAAGCAGTCTGGCTTTAGGTGTTAAGGTGTGCATTGCATGTTGGGACGTCTGCTTTTGAAGGCATTTTGACATTATTTAGTACACACATGCTGACATGTTCCAAATATTACTGAATCTTATTTTTTTATTACTCAGTAATATCTAAATATAAAATAGGCAAAGAATGGTGCAGCTGTCAGGAACTTGTTATGTTAAGATGCTAGAAATTAAGAATCACATAAAGAAAAAAGTTAAGGTGAGGAATAGATGAAAAAAATAAATGGACATGGTTTGTGTTATACAAAGGACCAAGAGAAAATGTCATGATAGGAAGTATTTATTTTCAGGTTAGTAAAGGAATGTAAAATAAGAAGTATAAGTTTATTTTATCAAATATGATGAAAATATTAGTTCAACTTCTAAAATCTATTAGGTAGTAGACAAAACAATATGAAACTTCTTATCTAAGATCCTATTTCTAAAATATCAAGACAATTTCCATTTTTATTTTTATTAATGATATATTGAAATATTCTATGTACCTTTTAATCACAAGTTAAAAATCTTTTCCATTGTTCACATAACCAGTTTGTACAGAAGCATCAGGGATGTGAAGTTTCACTTTTGCAAACATGATTCAAAATTTATAAGTATACCTTACTAAATAAAGCAATACATATTAGAAATTCAGACGCCATTCTATATTAACAGTAGCTATATCTATCGCTGAGGTTTAATTAGCAACACTTTATAGTCATGCATTACTGATTGAAGTAAATAACTAAGAGGCACAGCTTCATTCCACTAGCTAAATCATTTACTCTGATAAAGGACCACCTCCTCACTTGTGGAAAGTGCAAAGAGCGATCATTCTTGTTTTTGCTACCTGTTTTCATTTCATGTAGAAGCTTGATGTTTGCATCCTAATTTTATAACCTTGAGTGCTGGGGGTCTCTCATATATTTAATGAAGTCTGATAATAAATCTTCAGTTCGCCTCGAGTAAGCAATCCTACTGCAGACTCAGCTCTCTCTCTCTCTCTCTTGACTTTCCTGGAGCCCAAATAAGATTTGTGCTCTGACAGAGTGAGCATTTACTTTATCAGAAAGCATATTAGGGTAGGCATGTCTCAGCATAATGTGCACCAGAATCAGAGAGGATGACTAATTTGTTCTGCTATTAAGCGGATAATAAAATGATTTAGGCATGTAGATATGAAACAGCCAGCACTTTGTGAATTATATGTAGCATATTTCATCCTGAATCTGGCCAAGTCCAAGAACCTTTTATGCATTACATGACATTTACAGGAAAGACAATGCTCTACCCAGAAATTAGAAATGTTTACCCAAGATGAGGTAGGAATATAAGTAAGAATTATTTAAAGCTATGTCGTTTATAGACATCTTATAAATTTTGTTTTATACTTGCCTAGCTTTGGCCAATTTTTCCATGCTTAAAAGGTTTTAAGGATGGTACATACTTAGAGAGCTGATATAAACCAAAATAATTTAAAATTGTTTCTTAGAATTTTATTCTGATTCATGATTTAGTAACCATAACACAATTACAAAAGTATCTGCACTCACACAGATTTATCTGGATACCAGAAAATACTAATAGTCCCTAAAGCTCTACCAAATGCTTTCAGGGTAAACTGTGTTAGTAGTGTATGCTGCTAAATTCTCAACATCATTGGAAAATATATATTAAAGTTATTGGGATAGGTAGGTGGCTTGGTGAGGCATATTGCTGGCTGTGGAAGCATGAGGACCTCAGTTTGGGTCTCTGTCACTGAAATAAAAAGCTGAGTGTGGCTGATTCCAAATGTAAATCCAGTATCAGGTAGAGGAGAGGCAGGAGGATCACTGGGGCTTGTGGGCCACAAGCTTCCACCCTGTCAGCAGCAATCTTAGGGTCCTGTGAGAGTCCCTATCTTAAAGAAATGTAGTATAATGCAAGAAAAGAAGAAATCCACTGCCCTAGTTTTACCTAATATGTATACACCCCAGCACACATACACATACACACAAAAGAAGTGAAATGAATTTATAAAGTGTAAACCTACTATAGAAGTCAAAGCAGACATACTTCAAAGTAATAAATGAGCTGAATAAAACAGTGACTATAGCATATTTTGTAATAATAATAGTAATTCTGGGGACTGGGGAAATGTCTCTGGATGAGCTTAGACAAGAATGAGGATATGACTTCAGTCTTCATTATCCCGGCAAAAAGGCAGATGTGGTTACATGCCAGTAATTCCAGTGCTGAATAGGTGCAAACAGGACAATCACTAGAATTCATTGCTGAGAGGATGCAGACTGGAAGTTCACTGCACAGTAAGCTCATAAAAGTTCCAAATTAAGTGAAAGACCCTGTTTCAAAAAACACAGCAGAGAAGACACTCAAAAAGACACAATGTTCTCTTGACTCTACATGTACACAAAGACATGCATACACAAAGGCACATACACAAAACACACCAAGAATAATAAGAATAATTCAGCAAATGTGCTTATTGTATAGTGCTCCCATGCTACTATTACACTACATCAAATAATTTTAACTTCCTGCCATTTTTGAAAATTGTTTCACTAACTATTGATGCTATAGATCTTTAAAAATACTTTATAAATATAGGCATTCTTATAAGTATATTAAAAAACTCTATACATAAGTCTTTTAGCATATGCTTTTAATAATAGATTTTATAAGAAATTAACATTTACTAGAAGAGAAATATGTACATTTTAAAAGCAAATTTCCTAATGATTATTTTAATCTTTAGATTCCATACGGTTGTTTATCAATGTGTAGGTTGAGGAGCTCTTTTTGTATAAGAAAAAAAAATTCAATGAGTTAAGAAATCAAATGCCTGCTGGGCGGTTGTGGCGCACGCCTTTAATCCCAGCACTCGGGAGGCAGAGCCAGGCGGATCTCTGTGAGTTCGAGGCCAGCATGGGCTACCAAGTGAGTTCCAGGAAAGGCGCAAAGCTACACAGAGAAACCCTGTCTCAAAAACCAAAAAAAAAAAAAAAGAAATCAAATGCACTAAATAATAATGGGCTATGGATCTTAACAAGAAAGTGCAAGAGAAGAAATAAAAATGGCTATGATATTTCTTTAAAAGTGTTCAATGTCTCTAAGAAATTAGTGAAATGTTTATTAAAACTACTTTGAGATTTCATCTTACTCTAGTCAGAATGACTAAGATCAAAGATGTAGAGAAAAGGGGAATATTCACTTGTTGAAAAATTTCACTTGTTGAAATTTTCACTTGTTGAAATTTCACTTGGTGAAAAAGGCAACGGGTGCAGCCACTGTGGGAATCAATGTATAGAAATATATTAGCCACATTACTCTATATCAATCATTTGCATATGTCCAAAGGATTCAGCATCCTATGCTTACAGGTTCATTGCCATTCTTTGTACAAGAGCTAGGATGTGGAAACAACTTCAATATTCTTCAACAGGTGAATGGATGATGGAAATGCCATATACATACACAATGGAATTCCATTCATCTGTAAACAATAATAAAATTGTAAAATTTATAAGTAAAAATGGAAACTAGAAAATATCTACATTTATGTATATTTGTAAAATTTAAATTAAGTTACATGAATTAGAATAATGATTATTTCCACAAGAGCCATTGACTAATAAAAGAGTATTTTCAATAAAAAAAAAACTTGCTTCCAAAAAAAATAGTTTTTCCATAAACTGATAATTTCTTAAAAGGTAATAGAAAAAAATAATCCATTCTTTCATTATTATATTTTGCTTTGCTTTCTAAATTGTCCATAATGTAAATATTTTAATAAAAATACAGATATTTTTTCTTTAAAGAAGACATTTTGTACTCTAAAACAGAAATCATAACTGAAGTATTATTTGTAAATAAAAAGATCTTAGCCATGATATCAAGATGTTAAATATTAGGTTCATTTCGGCACTCAACTAGAAACTTTACCCCTACTAACAAGCAACCATGGTGCTGGAAAGAATTCTGAATGTTACTCAAGGAGAAAGGAAATCATCAGTATCACTCACCTACAAAACCTACAACCCGAAGCAGAGATCTGCCCGCAGAACCTATTGGTGCAGCAGTGGCACAAAAGTTATAGAAATAACCAATCAGTTTTTTATTAGATTTAGGCCCATCTCATGAGATAGAACTCATACATGACACTGTGACAGTGGCCAAGAACCTGAGACTTAGATAGGTCATGGGCCTATGTAAAATCCTAAAACTATTACTCTGGTAAAGGAACATAACAATAAAATGACTCTTAATGACATTTTTATTTCTATTAGATCAGTGCCTCACTCAGCCATCATCAGAGAAGCTTATTTATAAAGTATATGGGAACTAACACAGAGATACACACCAGACTTTGTGCAGAGAGTGGAAGATTTTGGGGCACTCAGTCCTAAATGGGATGCCTTAATCAAACTCCTCCCCCCTTGGATCAGGGAACTCTGTGGAAGAGAAAGTGGAAAGGTTGAGAAAGAGTCAGTGGTAATGAATGACCACCCTAAGGAAACCATCATTCAGACACAGCAGGACTGATAAACATTTGAACTCAGAGACAGTGGCATCATGCATAAGACCTGCCCAGGTACAAGTTGGACTGGATCCCAGCTCTGAATGAGCAAAGTGGAAATGAGGTTCCACTCCTAAATAAGAAGCTGTCTGAAATTGATATCAGTTGGCAAATGTAAAATCCATATTTTCCAGTGGCATGTCACTGGGTATACCAAAAACACTCCTTGGAAATCCCATAAAAAGGAGTGTTTGGAAAACATAAAACAAGCTTCATGATTTTATGTATTTTTTTAGTTTGGAAATTTTGTTCTTATTGGTTTTGTCTGCTTGCTTTGTTCTCATTTTTTAAAATGTGTGTTCCATTTGAAAGAAAAAGAAAGAACAAAGTTGAGTGGCTAGAAAGATGGGAAGTATATGGTAGAATTAGGTTAACAAAATACATTGTATAAAATAATTTTAAGTAAAATGGAATTAAGAGATAAAAACAGATCTTGTTTTTACTGAGTTGTCTATTGAGGATACAGTTTGCTTTATTTAAGTGATTGAACACTTACATAAATAAAACATTTAGATCATTTGATGAGATCTACTTATTAAGAAGAGTCTAGCAAAGATTAGGGAAATCATTTCATTTTGTAATTTGCAGGAGAAAGTAAAGCCTTACTTACACAAAAGAAGAGAATCAGATCAGGCAAAAAGTTCTTCAAATCTAGAATATATGACTTTAGCATTTATCTTTATATAACTCAGAATTTCACAATATCAGGTCAACCACTGATGATTATGGTATTCTCTTCTCCTTCATGGCATTTGAATTCTGAGTGATGCTGGTCTATGATGTGAAATAACTAGAGTAGAAATGTGGTTTATGATGACATGCAGCAGGCCCAGATGTCTCCTTGTCAAAGTCTATCTATTGAGAAATATACAGAAACACAAATTCAATTTCCATCATATTACAACAATGTAGAAATATAATTTTATCATGAGTTCAAACAAACCCATGATTCTAGACACCAAGCTCTCTGGCATTAGTCTCAGATGCCTCTTACTACTTTCTGAACAGTGGCTTTTTTGTTTCTCATCCAATTGAACATAGTAAAAAAAAATATAATGCATTTTTATATTTTATATCAAGATGAATTAGCTGTGCTTATAATGTATTTAAGTAACAGTCTAATGATTTACAATTGCTTTATATTTTCTGTCTGCTTTGTGTTGTATTGTATTACTTGAATTCATTTAAGACAAAGACACAATTACAATTGCTGTTGATCCCAGGCTGGAAAGATGGCCTACATACATACACATATTGGCAATACTAACTGGACAGAGCAGGTTTAAATGAAAATAAAGAGGCCATGATGTTGGGAGTGAATTGCAGTGCCAAGAGACAAAGGGGTAAATCAAGGGAGAAAATAGGCTGAATTTGATCATGCATTTTTTTAAAATTAAAATTAAAAAATTCAAACACAAAAATATATACTTAAAATTGTGGCACAATCATTCAGCTTGCAGTATTTCTACTATTGATTTTTAGTGTAGTTTGTCTTTTAGTGAATATAGGTGATATCATTTGCAGTAGACAGATTACCTAATGTTGAACAATCATGAACTTGTTAATAATGTCATTGTTTTCTAACATGTAATTTTAATTACTTGGTGTTATCTTGTACATTTTTACACTTCCATATGTAGATAAAGTAAAAAAATTGTGAGTACAATTTTAGACATCCTATAAATTGAAGAATTCATATTAGTTTCCCTTTCCTTATGAAATACAGTATAGTCAATGGATCATCTGGAAATTGAATCCATGTATATGTAACAACAACATTTGTGTGAATATTTCAACCAAGGTTGGGCAATTTATTTTCAAAATACCATAAAGGAATAAATAATGGTCACATCGAAGCTTACAGGGTATGTTTGCTACACATACTAAAGAAAACTGAAATGATGACATACTAATTTTGATATATAAACAATGAGATACCCTTTAGCTATAGAATATGGAGTTATGTCTCATTGATTAAATATGTGACCTTAATAGTGAATACTATGATTCCTGAAATGTATGAAAGGAAAAGATACATGGTGCATTGGTTTTGCTATTTTACATTGAAAGGAACAGAGAAAATGCTAATAATAACAAAAATTAAAATGCTTAGCCCTCTGTTTTACTATATTACATGTAAGAGGAAATCAAAGTTGAACAAAAAAATTCAAAAAAATGGTGCAAAAATGCATTGGCTTATCGACCCAAACTGTCACAGAAAAGTCTTGTTTGTGGTAAACATTTCAGCAGGATTTTGTCATCACTATGGTACAGCTTCACATTCCACTTTCTGTGGTGTAGGGATTCTGAGCTGTGGTGGTGAGGTGGTTGCAGACATTCTGAGCTGTTGGGGTGGTTGTAGGGATTCTGAGTTGTCATGGTGAGGCGGTTGCAAGGATTCTGAGCTGTCATGGTGAGGTGTTTGTAAGGATTCTGAGTTGTCATGGTGAGGTGTTTGTAGGGATTCTGAGCTGACATGGTGAGGTAGTTGTAAGGATTCTGAGCTGTCATGGTGAGGTAGTTGCAGACATTCTGAATTGTCATGGTGAGGTGGTTGTAGAGATTCTGAGCTGACATGGTGAGGTAGTTGTAAGGATTCTGAGTTGTCATGGTGAGGTAGTTGTAGGGATTCTAAGTTGTCATGGTGAGGTGGTTGTAAGGATTCTGAGCTGTGGTGGTGAGGTTGTTTTAGACATTCTGGACTGTGGTAGTGAAGGGGTTGTAGGGATTCTGAAGGTCACATAACAGCACTTAGCACATTCAAAGCAAAAGTCTGTGTTTACTGTTTGTGATGCACTTTAGCAAGCCTGAATAAATCATTGCTCCTAGGGATATTCTTTGGAATGAATTTAATGCAGCTTAACATCTCCTTGTGGAACCAATCAGGGAAAAGAAAAATAGGGTATGCTTCTAAACAGTGCAATTTTAAGGTGGGACTGATCAAAACACTAGGGTGTTTTCATGCCACATACTGAAAACCAAAACCAAAATGCAAAAATGTGGACTTGTTTATATTCAGAAAAGCTTCGTATATTCCATCCCCACCACAAGTCACTGTATTATGCATTTACTAATACAACTAGCATTAATCTACATAATTTGATTCTGAATTTTGAACAGACAAATCTGTCCTCCTAAGTTTGGTGGACTGTGATTGATTATTTCATTTATTTAACCTACTCTACCTGCTATGTTCAGCATTCATTCACAAATATATTTCAATCTTGTGTTTGCTGTGTTCATTGTTAGCTACTTTTGTTGTTCAGAGTTCTAAAAGTGTTTTATTGAGCAATTTCTCCAGTTTTAATTAATTATTGGATATTTTATGGTATAATGACTATTGAATACTGTTTCTTTTTTTTTAAAGATATGAGCAATAGTTCCCCAGTTTCACTTTGTCTTTTTCACTGTACTTATCCTTTTAAATGTCATCTGTCCTCTAAGATTATTACTCACTTCATGTGCATGCTTCTGCACATGAGTGAGCTTAGAAAGTTATCATATGCTGAAATGATCTTCCTGTTTGGTGTATGGTTAAATTTTCATGCGGAGTAGACTTGTATTAGCAGACGCTGAATTCAAAAGTCAGTATTCTCTCAGCCCAAAGCACTTCCACCTACTATTCATTCATGTTTATGCCATACCTCCAGTCTATGTATCACTATCACAAACCAGTTCATCACCACAATTTTATAATTCCTAGAATTTAGTCATTAAATATAAACATCTAAGGCTAATTGTTGTGTAAATTATATAACCTAGAAATGTATACAAGTCCCACACTTTATTTATTCACCTGCCGAGCTTTAGTTGTGGAGATTTTGCATAGGGATCTCGTAGGTATTCATGTGCAGGCTTCTGCTCATGAAATTTCTCCTTTCTCTTGGATACTCAAGAAATGGATTGCTGGATTGACATATTGAGAGAAGCCACTGAGTACTGAAATGTTTGCTTTTCCAGACAGAGGATTTACAGCTGCTGGACACTCTCACCAACAATAAGGCCAGTACTTTTTTATAGCAGTAACAGCATACTTTCAGTTATTCTGAAGTGTGTGAAATGCTATATTTTAGACCCTATTCTGTTCCCTTGAGCTAATTGTTTATCTCTTTACCAAACCACACTCTTAAATAGTTCAATTTTATAATTCTTACAAATTGGATGCCATCCCTCCAATTTTGTTCTTTTTACAACTGTTTTTCTTTATAGTAATATTTATTATTTGAAAATGTCTCACATGTATAAAAATTATATTCATCATATCTGCCCCATTACCCCTCTCTAGCTCCCCAGTCCTCCTCCACAGCACATTCATATCCTCCATTTGCAATAACCCACTGAGTCCAATTACTGCTGCTCATGAATGCATTCCTTTGTTCTTCCACAGACACTTTGGATTCAGTTTGTTTATCTCTGCAGCACTCCTACTGGGATTTGGTATGGACTGATATGGATTAAATATATAGATCAATCAAGGCAGAATTAACTTATTTTCTACATTGGTTTCCTTCCAATACATAAAATAGGCAACACTCCAATTGTTTTGATAGTCTTTTGTATTTTTGCTAGCATTTTATATTATTTAGCAGGATTGTAACATAGCATATTTCTATGTAAAAATTCCATTTTTGAATACTATATTGCATTTTATTGGGATTTAATTGCTCTTATATGTGAAGATTGAATTTTCACTAATATGCAATAATTTTTTAAACTGGGTTATTCTTTTTACCTTTTATTGATGTGTATACAGTGTTTGGGTGTATACCTAAATAAGTATGTGAAAAACTGCATGGTTTGTGTAAATGCTGGTGCATGTACAGAGGTCAGATGACACTATTGTCAATATGTTCACTCTTTCCCATGAGATACAGTTTTGGTTGTATGTTTTTGTTGTAAGTGTTGCATATGCAAGACTCTGATGTACCAGGAGCTTATATTTGTACCCATTATCTCTCTGTAAGAGAATTGTGATCACTAATGTTCTCAATTGTGATCTGGGGATCTGAACTCATGTACTAACATTTTTGCATGGGAAGCACTTATACAAAATGAACCATCTACTCAACACCAATTTTTCAATTTTCTTAAACAAAGGTTCCTGACCAGTGATGGTAAGTAAGAAGTATATGCAATATATATATATATGTGTGTGTGTGTGTGTGTGTGTGTGTGTGTGTGTGTGTGTGTGTGTGTATAAATAGTATCTACATTTCTAGCATTAGCTACATCTATGTATATATCATCTATATATCCATAACTTTCTCTTAGATAGACTTGGTGTTACCTATAATACAATGATAATAGTGTACAATTTTCTAAAATTTTATTTTTATTTCTTAATTTAAGTGGTAAAACAGTAAAGACAAAATGAATTAATAATGTCTTTTCAAGGTTTGGGGGAAGACATTCTATTTATTGTTCATAGATTTATATTATCTCTTTTATTTAGCCCATTTACTCTCAAAGTGTTTATGGATGATTAGTGCTCTGACTTTTCATCTGAATTCATTTTTTAGACAATTGAATGAACTTGTTACAGAAAACAAATGGCTAGCAGATTTCATGGGAGGCCATGCTAAGTATCAAGCATCAGCTAAATCGCAAAATGCAAAAATATGTTGTGCCTTTGGGTGGCAATTAAGCTACTGCTTACACAATAATAGTCCCAAAATATCAAAGGTGAGAACAAATTACCTAACTCATTTTGTATATGATAACAGTAATCAAAACTATTCTGCCACATGAAAAATTCTAGGAAGTTCTCTGCCAGTTTTCACCATGAACATCAGCTCTATTGGCGTTTTTATGAATGGCTGCAGAAAAGGATGTTTCCTTCAAACAAATACTCTGAA